GTTATTTGCTGATCCAGTTGTGAAGAATGTTGTTTTCTTTACACTGAGGTGCAACACATACTGAAAGCTGTGGTCTTTGATCTTCATCAATAAGGATTTTAATTTATCTTCCCTTTCAGCAAGCAAAGTTGTATCATCTGCATATTGCAGGTTGTTAATATACCATCCTCCAATCCTGTGCCATGGTCTTCTTCACGTAATCCAGCTTCTCAGATTATTTGCTCAGCAATCAAATTAAATCATTATGTTAAAACAATACAAACCTGGCACACACCTTTCCTGATTTAGAAAACATTTGGTGTCGCTGTTAAAACAACTGCCTCATGGGGACAATTAAGTGTTCTGTAATATCCATTTTTCAAAATGTTATATATCATTTGTCATGATCCACTTAGTCAAAAGACTTTGGAAAGTCAATAAACCACAGGTAAACAACTTTCTGGTTTTCTCTGTTTTTTTTTTTTTTTGCAAAGATCCTTCTGGCATCAGCAATGATATCCCTCATAGCTTAGCTTAAACCTCTGGCAGTTCTCTGTTGATGTACTCTTTCATATATATATTTATTTTTAAATTGAGAATTGAGTAATAGTTTACATGGGAGAACAACGGTTTTACACTCATCCTATCGTATTTCATTTCATTGAAATTATTTCAATGATTATAATCCCCTCTGTGCTTCATTATCCAACAGTATTTGCTTCTATTTCCTCTGGGGTTTTTATTTTTGTTGTTGTTCTTGTTCGTTTTGAATGTACACAAAAACACTCAGGAATATATAATCATTTAAGCAACCAAAGGGCACATTCTGCAAGCCTGCCTCCTGGCTGCCAACACACAGCCTTTCTCTTTTCATGAGAGTGCAGTCCTCAGCTGCTCCCTCTCTCCATACCTTCATCTCTGCCTATATCTCTGGTGTCACTGCTTCTCTGGATAGGGTCCCACATTCTGCTCATGCTCTTCTCCCTTGATGGTCCTAGGGCCCTCTGTTCCTATAAGATTAACTTCTACTCCTTTTTTGTTACAAAACTTCTGCCTTTACAGTTGTGGTGATCACAATTAATCATGATAACAACTACTCACTTTTTAATCATATGAATCTTATCTACATCTCCTTTCACCAGACCCATCTAGACCAACTTTGGTAGAGTTCTTCAATTTTACCATTACTGGTTTTAGTGGTTAGTGTGTATTAACTGGTCTTCCTTGTAGACATATGGATATTATTCTGTCACAGACAGTGATGTACTTCAAGATAGATCTTGAAATGTTCTTTGTGATGATGAAAGCTATGCCATTCGTCTTCAGTTTGTCATTCCTGGCACAGTAAATCATATGATTGTCAGATTCAAAATGGCCAATAGCAGTCCATCTCAGCTCACTAATGCCTAGAATATTCAATGCTTATGTTTTCCATTTCATTTTTGACAACTTTCAATTTATCTAGATTCATACTTCATACATTCCTTGTGCCAATTATTAATGAATGTTTGTAGCTGTTTCTCCTCTTTTGAGTTGTGCTCCATTAGCAAATGAAGGTCCCAAATCTTAACTCCATCTATGTCATCACAATCAACTCTAGAATGAGGAGGAAGCTCTTCTCCAGCCATATTTTAAGTGCCTTCCAACCTGAGACGTTAATCTTCTGGCCCTATATCTGGTAGCATTCTGGTGTTATTCATAATATTTTCATTTTCCAGAACTATTCCTGACAATATTCTGGTGTTGTTCATAAGGTTTTCAGTGGCTAAGCTTTAAGAAGTGTTCTACCTCTCCTAGTTCCTAGTCTGTCTTAGTGGCTTAGAAATCACAAATTTATTCTCTTCCAGTTGTATACAAAGAAGATTGACTTAGGTCTCCCTCATCTAAAGTCAAGGTGTTGGCAAGCTGGGTTCCTTCTGGAGATTCTAGAGGTGTATCAGTTTCCTTGTCTTTTCTAGTTTCTGGAGGCTAACCAGATTCCTTGGCTCATGACTCCTTCTCCAAATCTCTCGAGACTCTAGCTTTTGGTTTCGGATCCCTGCTACCTTTCCTGGACTCTTCCTGCATTCTTCTTACAAATATTGCTGTGATTACAATGGACTTATCTGGATACTGAAGCCCTGGTATGGCAATGCAGGATAAACACTGGACTTCTGACCACAAGGTCTTCAGTTCAAACCCTCTTGTTGTGACTTGGAAACCCTCTACAGGGTCACTACAAGTCGAATCTGACTTGACTTGACAGCACTTAATAACAAGAACAACCTGGATACTACAGGGTAATTTCCCTATTTCAAGATCCTTAACTTAATCACCTCTGCATTATTATTATTATTATAATTATTATTATTAGTAGTAGTATTGCTATATAAGGTAACACAGCTTTCAGAGTTTAGGAAATGAACTTGACTAGTGGCCATTTGTCAGTTTACCACAATGTCTCTTTTCTTTTTCAGTGTTATATGTATTTTGCAGCCATATCATATAATCCAAAGCACACTTCCACAGAGTCGATTCCATCTCATACTGACCATACAGAGCAGAGTAGATTCTTCCCTAGATTTTTTGAGACTGTAAATCTTTACAGAAGCAGATGGCCTCATCTTTCTTCCATGAAGCAGCAGATAGGTTCAAATCAGGGACCTTTCAGTTAGTAGTAGCATGACAAAGAACTTGATTCTCATGTTCAGTGATTGTTGAATGAGGCTACTCTCAACATCATGTCTACTTCCTAAGAGGTCAGCCTTTTTTTTTTTTTAACGTATTTTTTACTTTTCTAAGCATATTTTGTCCTGTCCAATAAACAAGATTTATTCTTCTTATAAAAATATGACATTGATACAAATATCATGTTAGCCTAAATTTCACAGAAGCTAAAGACACTGCTAAGTATATACAGAGCCATTTGTACCATAAGTTCCTAATAAGCATTTTCAAAAGTGCTCTTTTCTCATTTCTAAGACTTATCTAATAATAATAATAAAAAAAAGCTGAATGATGTTCTGTTCTCAATGATTCTATTTCAACATGTAAATGACTTAGAACTTCTTTGTAAATGATAGGAAATAGAACACTCTTTTGTTCTTGTGTGACACTGTGGATTCACACTGAACTGTGAACTACAAGGACAATATTTCAAACCCATTAGCTGTTCCTCAGAAACCCTATACAGTAGGGTCAATATGAGTTGGAATTGACTCGGTAGGACTTAAAAACAACAACCAGACCAATATAAATTATAGCACTCCTGGGGTGGCACTGTAATATAAGTCCAGTGCTGTGAACCACAAGGTTGGCAGTTCAAACCGACCAGCTGCTCCTCAGAAATTCTATGAAGGGTCACTATGAGTCTGAACCAACTCAACAACTTAACACTTAACAACCAACACTTAACAAGAACAACAACAGATGCCAGGCACATACCAACAACTATATTTCCTGTTTCCAAGGGTCTAGGGGAAAAAAAACAAACAAAAAACCCCCACCCAACTGCATTTTCTTTGTAATTTTTGCTGAAACCATCCAAATTTCATCTTTTTTTCATTCTCTATATATGCTTTGTTCATAATTTCTCATATTTATTATTTAAATATTGACTTCAATGTCTAATTCTGGCAAATATAGTTGCATCTTAAGACAGACACCAGAGAGGATGAAAAAAACAAAAAAACACAACAGTATTGATTATAAGCACCTTCCAGGCATTAAATTTTTATACTAGTCAACAAAACTTTTTACAATTGTTAACATATTAAGTTCACTAAAACTAATTGGCAATCATATTTTCAAAATCCAATCAATATTCAAATATATAGTGTGATGTAAATGTTTTTGCCTGTTTGTTACATCCTGCCCCCACATTCTCTTTTGTTTATTGGTTTATTTTTCCATTTATGATTTTTAAAAAATGGTTCTTTACTTAAAAGACTTGGTGTCATGCAGAAAGCATACTAATGTCATTATCACTATGACATTGTTTAAGGGCTCCACTGCCAAGAGGGTCACAATTCAAACCCACAGCAGCTTCACAGGAGAAATACCTGTAATCTGGTCCCCAAAAGACTGAACCCAGAAACCCTATGAAAACAGTTCTATTCTGTCATCTGTGATATCTATGAGTCAAAACTGACTCCACAGGACACTAGTACTTCTCATTGAATTATGTCTGAAAAATAATACTTATTTCTCAAAAGTGGGTTAATAGTAAAGTAAAATGTGAAGCTATAGTTTAAATAGCTGTACAAGGAATACGGAAGACTGAGTAAGAACTAATGACTTTGGTTGATGGTGTTGGTGAAGAACATTGACTATATCGTGGGCTGTCAGAAAAATGGACCAAGCTTTATGACGAGTACAGCAAGAATGCTCCTTTGTGAGGCTTTGTCATAGACACTTTGGAGACATGCTAGAAGGAGGGACTGAGTCCTAGAACAGGTCATCAAGTTTGGCAGTATAGAGGGTCAGCAAACATAAAGGACAAAGTCCCTCCAGCAGATGGACTGACACAGTGGCTGCAGCAATGGGCTCAGATGGTGATTGTGATGACTTCCAAGGATGGTTCCATGGTGCTCTCTGTTGTACATAGGGTCCCCAGGAGTTGGAACCAACTTGATGGCACCAAATAACAACATTGAGAAAGAATATAATTTAAAGGGTTGTTCTTGTTGTTAAATGTCGTCGAGTCGGTTCCGACCCATAGCAACCCCGTATAGGGTTTCTAAGGAGCCACTGGTGAACTTGACCCGCCAATTTTGCAGTTCATTCGGCTTTGCAGGCAGGCGCATTAACCCACAGCGCCACACCAGGTAGTCAGGTTGTTTTCCCAGTCTTCTTTAATTAACATCCAGAGACCCAGCAATCACTTCCCTATGCATTTCAGTGACCATTTTTAAGAGACCCGTTAACAATGGGACATCCTTAACCTTGTCTCTTCGCAGATCTTTAGATGGTCAACCCAAACATGAAAGCTTGGCAGAATTTTGTTTAACTCTAAAATGTGATCTCGCTTGATTCTCTTTCAGGTAGCGCTGGAACCCCAGTCATGTTTAACAAGAATGGGGATGCACCGGGACGTTATGACATCTTTCAGTACCAGACAACAAACACCAGTAACCCTGGTTACCGCCTGATTGGACAGTGGACAGATGAACTTCAACTCAATGTGAGTTCTACTGACTTCTCTTTTTTCCCTTGCACAAAGAATTGTTGTTGTTGATGTTTGTTGTTAAGCACCATCAAGTTGATTCCAAAGCATAGTGACCCTGTATAGAGTTTCCAAGGAGTGGCTGATAAGCTAGAACTGCGGACTTTGTGATTCAAACTAATTTTGCAGTCCAGCACATTTACCCACAGCACCACAGCAGAGGTCCTGTATGTGCAAAGAATAAACAGAGTTAATTTTCTCAGATTGTCAAGTGTTTTTGGTTTGCATGAGAGTGTTTATATACAGGTAAACATGCGACTTAGTGTAAGTGTTAACAGGGGTGTAGAATATTGAATAAATGCCCTGGATGATGGTGATGGTGGTGATGATGAAGATGTATGTTGAGTCTGTGGCAGATGTTATAATCAGCATTTTTTATTGATTGTCTCATTTAATTTTAACACGAGATTTAGAATTAGAACTTGAGGCTTCGGTATTTTAAGAATAAAGTTACCAGCTAGTATTTTCACAGATTCCTTCTCTTGACTGACCTTTTCTTCCTTCACTTTTTCCTTGCTTTCTTTCTTTGTTATTTGGTGGCGGTATTTTATTATTATTATTATT